GTATTTCTCTTGCCTTTGGTCTCTTCACTCATTAGAAGAACTATTATTTYTTCAGAATAATGAAGCAAAGTCATGTTTTTTTCAATAGATGGTCATGCATTTCAAATTGGAGTTGAAGCATTCAACCTCCTTGCAAGCTTACGTGTTTTCTCAGTCACAAGACAAAAGTCACATCGTGTCCCTAAAACACTAATACCGTAATCTTAAAACCAATGCTGCACAGGAAATTAAAGCTGCTGACAGTAGGGCTTTCTTTGTTATTTTCTCTGTTTCTTTATTTCAGTTCTGATGTTGAACTCAGAAAGAAAACACTGGAGGCTCACATGCCCTCCCAACTTGATAACAGCCTGTCCTGTTAATTATAATGTAGCACTTCACTTTTTTAAAGCCTCAAATAACATAAAAACATATAAATAAAACACTGCATATTTAAATAGGAGCTAAGAATCAACAAAAATCAACACTTCGAAAAACAATTATTTGATTTATCTATTTTCAGTCAGAACATGTCTTATTTGTTTACATGGAGGGGTAGGTCTTCAAAATTAGCGCAGCCACCGGGGGTGCTCGTCTTTTGAGCTTTCAACATTCAGMTTCTTGTAATTCTAACAAACTGTGTCCTGATGTCCAGCTATCTCTAATTTGTGAAGTCCATTTGGAACACATTAACGTTGATTTTGGAGTGTCATTAAAAACACTATAGTAAAGAAAGATGAGGTAAAAATTATTGTGAAAAAAAGTTATAATGAGGTATGGGCTTCATCTTAAAGATTCAAGGTCTTCCAGGTTTTTTGTTTCCCACTGAAGTAAACTTGACTGTTCTGGTGGTATTTTTATGGAACTCCTAATATTCCTGCACAAATGGAGGGTTCTTCCTCCAACCTTTCTCCTCCTGTCAGTGCTGAGGTCAGTGCGTTCACCTCACAGAGACCCACAGCAGTCAGCTGCAAAAATGTCGTTTTGTCAGCAATGAGATGAGAAGTTTTTGGAAACCGGGATTCAAATTCTGTAAAAATTGAATAAAAAACTAAAATTAAATTAAATTTTTTCTCCATAAATACATTTGTAATTAGCCTAGGCCGCTTATCCTGTAGCAAATTTGTTTTAACAGGTTGTTGTTCTTTTTACTTTTGTGCAAACTTTTACCATTTTGAAATTTCTAAAAAAAAAAAAAACAACTAAAGTTGCTGCAAAGAACAAGAACTCCAATAAAATAAAACACTAAATAAAATTCAAARCTTCAGTCTTGAAATAAATGCGATTTGTCCATATGCGAGTTTAAAGGCTGGCAATAACAAGTCATTTTCATACATTTTATAGACAACTGAAGAGTTACCTAAGCCTGATTTAAGGAAATACAATTTTATTTTTGACAAACAAATAATCTATTAAAATGGATCAACTTCACACAACTTTACCAACTGGTCTGTTTGCATCCAATAATTAACATGTCAAACATCATCATTTAATTTCAATAATCAGCAAATTACCAATAAAACATTCATTTGAATAGCTGTCAGAAAAATCATGTTTACAGTTTGATTTTTTATTTATTTATTGTTTGTTTATCTTTGCCGTATTTCCTGGATAAGAACGTAAAATGCTTCTTCTTTGGCAGGTCGTGGTCAAAATTAGATTTTGCAAGGCAGCAAAATGATTGCTTGAGTAATCAAGGAAATAAATTGTGCTCTAAAAACTAAATTGGTCAACTTAATCCAAAATCTAAAAATTGGGTTTTAATGAACAAACACACACCGTGTTACTGATTTATATCAGGGCCTGTGAAAAGATTTAATATTTTGTCTCAAAAATTTTTTGACAGAGCACATTTCAAGTCCTCTGGCAGGCCGTTCCAGTTCACAGGAATGATGAGACAAAACAGTGCTTTTCCAGCTTGGTTTCTGACACTTGATATTTTGAAACGGCCAGCGGGCAGATGACCTAGTTGACATAAATAACCCATGGATGACTACTCGAGACATACTTGAGCCAGAAAATCTAGAGAAATGAGTTAGAGCTGTCTGAAAATCAGAGGAAATCATTGATACAGAGCTGCCTTTATGAGCTGATGAAGCTGTTAGGTTTTGTATTGCTCTTTGCAATGACTCAAGAAAATAGAACTTAGGCCAGAGTTCAATTAACTTTTTTAATAACTCCTAATTGTTTCAAACTCAGAAAATAACAGAAATGTTTCCTTTTATGCATATTATTTTGCAAAATAAAATGTAGTTTTCACACATTAGAACTCTACATTTTGAAATATCCAGTCTTTCAAGACAAGTTGTGGTCTATTACCTTAGAATTTTGCACTTTTTTATCTAAATGATTTTAGACTAGAGGTAATAATGGATTTGCCATGTACGGTGTACATCTACAGTATGTTCTATATGTAGAATCAGCAAAACATCTCCTGAAACAAGGGACAGTTTGTGCTCCAAAAGGCATAATGTAATTATCACCAATCATCATCTGATTGAATTTAAGGTCAACCCAATTCAAGATGAACACCACTGACCTCAGGAAACACAAAAATGACTATATCTCAGCCTGTTGCTAAATTTTGGTGTKGTAGTATCTGTGAGTCATTCACAACACACTGTGAGCACAGAGTGAGCATTTTTTTAAATTAATTTGTTYATTTTTGAGATTTTTAAATGGTGCTGATTATCCGCTGCTAAATAATCTCAGCTTTTCTCGCATCTGACTTGGTCATCCATATAAAAGCTTTGTCATCAAAAATYACCAACATGGATCCAGAGCTGCACCGGTTCTGCTTGGATTAACTATCAGAGGACACAGACACAGGACAYGGGACAGGTGTCAAAATAATAAAAGCAAAACCAGACAGGTCTCAAACAGAACAAAACAAACATTCTGTCAGCCATGCAAATTAGTCATGTCAAATAGCAGAAAAAATCAGGAAAAGATCAGGCRCAAATGGACATTTAATTATGTTTAATTCTATTTTTTAGCTGCCTTTAGGGAAAACATACATTTTCAGTTGGCACTATTTGAAATKTCAAAATCATTTTTTTATTCGTGTTTCTTTTAAAATTCCTCAACACTGCAGCATTTGTTCAAGCATACTATATTTAAAAGATACATTTTCAGTTGGCACTATTTGAAATTTCAAAATCATTTTTTTATTCGTGTTTCTTTTAAAATTCCTCAACACTGCAGCCTTTGTTCAAACATACTATATTTAAAATTTGTATAAATTTAAAACATGTTTTGAAACAAGTTTAGGAAACTGTGYGATGGTAGATGCAAACGTAATGCTTTTTTTAATCCTTTAATACACAGTTTAACCCAGATGGACTGTCTCAGCAGCTCTGACAGCCAAAAGATGGAGGATGCAAACAGAACCTAAGGGCTCTTAGAAAGTGCATCCATCTTCTGCTAGTTTATTACCTTGTTTAATCTGATATGAACACAGACAGTTTTTATGATTTTAAGATAGATGGCTGTTTGCACTTGAACAGCAGAGTCTTGAGTCTGAATTGAATCCATTCAATTTGACCACATTTCTCTGTTGGATCAATGTCAGTAGATTATTCCTCTGTGTTTTCAGTCAGTTAAAAATATTCATTGTTGACACCTTGCATGAAACCGTTTGTTTATTTTCCCCATGTGACATAGACAATTTCCCCATCATAAAAAAATGTTAGTTGTTAAAATGTGCAATGTTATGCAGCCGAATCAGCTCCCAAAGGGCTGTTTTGGACACCCTCCTAGTTTGAAATTTATTCACAAAGACTATTTTTGAAGATCTTTTGAAGCTAAATGAGGGTTTTCATTTCCCCCTCTAGCAGTCCTTTGAGTACTCAGAGTTTATCTCCCACTGGGAGCTTATGGCTTCCGAGTTTTGGAAAAAGGTTTTCAAGAGCTTCTATAAAGCTTATAAATGTGTATTACCTGTTTTTGAAAAAAAAAGATAAGGGAATCAATCAAAAAATAAATAAAGGTAAAAATTAAATATATTATTTCTTTATTTTTTCATGATAAAAAATTGTACTAATAACTATTTCAATGTAAATATTTATGTGATGTGAAACTGAAGGCAGTGTAAAGCTTCATAAAATAGCATTTGCATGAATCATTGTTCCTGTAAAACTGTAAAATAAACACCAGGCTCATCAGTTTATCCTTCAACTTCACAACTAAATAAGAGTACCATACCAGTGGAGGGTTCTTTAAGAGCAGGACACTTCAAATGCTTTGGAGGTAAAATCTCCTGAACCTTAAACGTCATTCACCTCAGACCGTATCAGAAACCACTTCTTAATGTCCACAAGAATGAATACAGCTTTACTGCTGTTTTAGTAACATAATGTGGTTGTCAACATGATTTATGTTGTGCTGTACACTTTTCTAAAACATAAGATCAAAACACGGTGTGCCAAAGCATCTGTTTGGATTTCAGGAGGGACTCGCTGATGTCTGCTTTGTCTCTGCTCATTCCTCTGCTTGTATCTCTGCAGGATGACAGCTGCAGACTTAGTCAGAATATACAGCAGTTCATTAACTGCACAGAATGGAGATTTAAGCATTTGTTTAAAGCATTCATGTGCCGATTATTAATAAAAAATAGAAACCATCTAAGATTTTCATGTAAATAGAAAAAAAACATTCTCACTGTTTTGAAATGTTTACTCACTGCACCTTGTCACAAAAAGGTGCTACCAGCTCAGAGACAGCTTATTTTATGCAAATGGAGTTTCTGCCTTTTTTCGGGGCTTAGAAAGAGTTATTGATTATGTTTAACAAGTTTATTTTATGGGTTATTGATCCGGGATGTTTCAGTCTGTGATTATCTTGTTTCAGTTCGTAAATCAAAGCACGATTGTCGTCATGCGAGGGGGGTGTTAATACAGCCTGCCTTGCCTTTTAGACTGATATACAGTCGCTTCTTTATTTTGATTTTTGTAGATTTTTTTTCCAGAAAACAAAATAAAAAGCAATACTTATTTGTCTTATGTGGTGTACATTTTGTGTTGCAGGTGGTAAAGATGATGATCATTGTGGTGGTGACCTTTGCCCTCTGCTGGCTGCCGTACCACGTCTACTTCATCGTRATTGGTTTCAACAAGCGTCTGATGAAGTGGAAGTACATCCAGCAGGTTTACYTGTCAGTGCTGTGGTTGGCCATGAGCTCCACCATGTACAACCCCATCATCTACTGCTGCCTCAACAGCAGGTGGGTACCAATGAGCTTTTTCAAAGTTTACAGCCAAAGGTAGGAGGGTAAAAAGGTCACATATATCTATATGCTGCCCCTAATGCTTTTAAACTGTAGCTACACTGATCAGCCAAATACCTGGCCAACGCTAACCAGTTACCACAAAGACAAAGGTTGTGTCTTGAAAAAGTCTGGTGAGTGATATTTTGGGGGGTCTGTGGGATAAAGTATTGCTTCCTGTAATACGATCCCATCAGATTCATATCTGTTGAGCTTGGGAGTCCTGGCAAATACCTAAGAATCTGTCTTGTCTTCTTTGAGCCACTTGTAATTGCTGTGGAGCCCGCTGCTGTTTTCTTGGCAGCGGGCCTGATGCTGCAAGGAAAAGCTGTACGCTGGTGGTCAGGCTGTGTGCCAAGAAAAAAAAGTATTGTAGTAAGATGAGGCGTTGTAGTCACTCCGCTTTGATTAATTGCTGTGCCTCTTCATTTTAACAATATTTTTGGGGAAAATGAACAAGCTTGAAATGAGAGGATCTTTATTTTCCAATATCATTTCTTTTCCAAAATACTTTTATTGAATGTTTTAGTATGTCAAAAAATATGCTCTGAAGTGCTGCTTAAATTTAAAATATCTGCATTATTCAGGAAAGGTGTTGCAGGAGACAGTCACCACTTGACATTTAGGTGTGGGTTACTAAATTGAGAAAGTTTCAGGAACACCAAAAGACAATTTCCTTCCAGCTTAAACACTTTTCTTTGGCTTGCACTCTGCTTTGCTCTGCAGGAAATGGTGCACCTTTAAATTTAAAGGCTTCCAATGTACTTCAAATTGAAAACAAATCAAAACAGTTAGTATTCTAAACACATTCTTCTTCTGCGATTGTTCACTTTCTATCTTTGTCTCTCTGCGGCGCCAGATTTCGAGCCGGCTTCAAGAGGGTGTTCCGCTGGTGCCCATTCATCAAGGTGTCCACCTATGACGAGCTGGAACTACGCTCCACGCGGCTGCACCCGACCCGCCAGAGCAGCATGTACACGCTGACGCGAATGGATACCACCATGGTTGTAGTTTACGACCCCGCTGAGGGCAACGGCAGCGCTGGAGGAAGAAAGCACTCCTTGTCTTCCAGGAAGAGAAGCTACGTCACCGCTCGCCACTCTGAGGTTAACGACAGCGGGGCAAAAATACAAAACGGAGTGGCACCAAAGGCTGAAGTTGAAGAATTCTCTTAAAGAGTGTTATGGACTTGCACAAAGCACTGTACATACAAATAAAACACATTAATCGTTTAGCCGGAGCATTTGAAGACGATGCACAATCAAAATTAATTTGCCTTTTTTTCAACCAAACATTCTGTTTGTTTGTTTTTTTTTTCTTTAAATTATAGATTTACATTTCTGTAGGCATGGTGAGACCCAAATAAAGAAAAGTTAGTCCAAAAACAAAGCATAATTCTGATTATGCAGTCTGTTAAAAGCATTGAGCTGAGTGTGGTACAGAGGATGGATTGCATCTATTTACCCCGTGGCCATGAACAAGAGTCATCAATGGAAAAACTGYTGATTGAACTCTGTTTGGCCTCATGAGTGGCTCCAAACTTGGTTCTCGGTTATGTAAGTATTATATGGAATATGTCAAGCTGGCTGGCAACAAGCCAAAGGCAAAAAAAAAAAAAAGATTTATTTACAGCTCGTCAGTAAATAGKCTGCACTAAAAGCTCTGTGAAAGAACACCAACAAATCTGTTTACCTTTTTTTTCTTTGAAGGAAAAGAAAACAAGTTGCACATTTCAATGCCTTTATACAGCAAACTGTCAGAGAGTCAGCCAGCCTTCTGTTTGAGGTTTTAGATGAACTAACCTCTGCAAACATCAGCAGAGTAAAGAAATGTGTCRTACTGGATCAATAGTGTACAAAATACAGAAAAAACATCAATATTGATAGCAAACATTTTCTATTTTTGTTTGTGTATGTTGTACGAAATTGACTGTTCCCACCAACATGTCTTATTCTAATTAAGTTAAAAAAAAACATGAATGAAAGGAAATGTCAACTTTTTTTTCAGGTTTCATCTCTCAGCCGCAGCTCTTAAATTTAACAACCTTATATGGCACTTTTTCTTTCTAATTCTCTCATTTTGGCACAATTACCAACCTGGCAAAAATTCCCTGTTATCAAATGAGTAGTGGAGCGCCCCCTGTTGGGCCCCAAAGGACATGCTGGTTCAGAAGCAATGATTAAGTATAATAAGAATAAAAATAAACTAAAATCAGATTTTATTAGTGCTGTACAAGTTTAAATATATGTAACATATTGATATTGTGGAGTTTAGTTTATCTGGTTTATAAATCATCATTTTTATTGTAAATCTTATGTTAATTAAAACCCACTCAACAGAGAGCAAATCAGCTGTGGGTCAGGATTGCAGTTTTATGAACATGTATACACACACACACACACACACACACACACACACACACACCATTGTCTTAAAAAAAGAAAAACAGTGAGCTCATTCATTAAGAAATTGTTAATTTATTTACATCAGTTCATTTAGCTTTAGTGCTATTGCTCCAGTTTTACTCTAATTCCACAAAAATGCTGAAAAAATTTTCTTATCCCACAAAACTAAAATACAACTCATTAAAAATTTAACAAACACAAAAAAAACCCAAAAAACTAATACGACACATTTTTCTTTTACAACCTCAGACTCCATCAACAAGGAATTAATGTGAATCKTTTCTCCTTTTCATTAATTGATGGTTCTCTTGTCAGAACTCATTCATTTGCAGTCAGTCATCTAATTCTCATTTAGGAAGATGGCAACATGATAAACTGGGTTGTTTGAATGTTCAGAGACGTTCTGAAAGTAATAATTAATGAATGTGAAGGAAAGCATCGAAATGTTCTGCCTCCCTSAGCTGTTGTGGTAAAATAAAATGAATAGACATTTTCTCCTGTCTGTACAATGTGTGCCTCTCACTGTCAAATGACTCTAWATATTATATTTCTTGTGTTTTTAAAGGATAACTGCTTGCTTTCAGCCTGAGACCCATCTCCTTCCTAGTTTTTATTAAATAAACTCTGTTATTATTAGATTGCTACACAGCTTTGCCATTTACTCTTTGCACTGTGATTTTTCAAACTTCATAATAAAAACTGAAACAAAAAGAAAAACTCAGGTTGAAAATAACTGTGTTATCTTTTACAGCAGAAAATAACAAATTGCAGTATCATAATGGCTTATTTTGGGRAATTCTTGCAGTTTATTGATGATGCTAAGTAACTTTCCAAATCTATATCATGTTTATTATAGTAGGTTAAAGTTTTTGTATTGCTCTGCAGCAGTCAGTATTTGTGTATCTGCTATAGCTTTGGTGCAATGCTCTTCTTTCTATCATGTTTACATGTATTGATGTGCGTATGATAAAACGTAGCCGTGGCTTTTTGCAATATCAGTCCARTGTTTTGTTATCGGTGTCACTTGTGTGAAAAACAGTGCAAACAACTGTGAAAATAYACAGAATTTCAATATCTCAATTTATTTGTACAGTTTAAACTGATGACCWGAACAAAAGGCTCTGTGAAGGCAAACTGCAGCTGTGTTCCTCACTGTTAAAACTTCTGCATTTCAGAATTACACCAGAGATGTTTCTCATAAATAAATAAATAYATTTGAACATTTTTGCTTTTGTGATGTTTTTAAAACTTCACTCTAAGAAATTAAGTGTCAACTTTACTCAACCAAGTTGATCAACTGGTTCCACTAAACTAAACAACTCACTTTAGTGGAACCAGTTGACATAACTTGGTTAAATAAATTCAAGATTTATTTTTTTAGTGTTATACAGCTGAAAACACAGAAAATAGCATTTGGGATTTTAACACCAGTCTGAATTTTAAAACTCTACGATTTGAGTTTAATCAATGTTTAGTTCAGTTACATTTACTTTATTACAGACCCCCATTGGTTATTACCTCAGCARTAACTATTCTGCCTGTCCCTTTGTTCCCAAAACAACTGATTAGAGAATCTGGATCTCCCCGGCAATGGCCTTGGATCTGATGGTAATTGACCATCAATATTCTGATCTTTGGCTACGCTGGTCTGGGGACTGGATTCTTCGGGCCCCATTAAAACTCACTTACTCCTCTGGCTAATAATCTTGCTCTATGCAGAGGTTTTTTTCATAAACACCATAGTGTGTCACAGTGTTGATATAATGTGATGCTTTTGCTTTTTTCCTCATTTTCCCTTGTGTGGTTTTTAGTTTTTCTGTTTGTCTAAAGGTTGCGCAACCGTGTTTGCTGCATGACCTGTCTTAACTCCCCCCTCCCCCCCTTCCCTAATTGTACAGCACCTTGTGAATTTATTTCTGTGAAAGGCGCTATATAAATAAAATTTTACTTACTTACTTCTTCCTGGGGTCCTGGTAATGAGCCATACAGTGATTCCTGATTGGTTAACAATAGAAAAATCTCAATTTGGAGGGAAAAAAAGGTTTAATTCTGATCAGATAGATGTGTGAACTGCTTTTGAGTAAGAAGACCAAGACTAAAGGAGATGTTTGTCATCTCCAAAGCAATCCCAGTCTTAGCAGTTCATGCAAACACTATTTTAAATCTTTATTGAAAGTTTTAGTTTCTGATTATTTGCAAATAGTAGCTGCAGCAGCAGTTGGTTGTGGCACCTCTTGGAGCACTTCTGTCATAGTTGTTTGGCCAGGATAATTGTGTAGTCTGAAATTACCAGTGCTGAAAAGTTTTCTAAAGCACTTATTGTATGAACAATTTGGAAGTTATTGACACTGAAGTTGTTTTAAAATAGCAGCAATTCATTTTAGTTTTGGCCCAGCTCCACTAGAGCATCAATGTGACCAGAATTTAACTCTTTTTCTTTAAACTGCAGTAATATCATTCAAAGAGCTATCTCCAACAGGTAAGCTAAGTGGTTGATTTTTCCACACAACCTCAATTTGGAAGATCTTACAAATCACTTTAAATGCYACTCTTGTCTGTTCGCTCTTTATGGATACACAGAATTGCTGAAGAAGTCATAACGGTAAGAGTTTCACATTTGAGCAAAACTGCAGTAGATTGGTCCAAAAAGCATCTTAAGTTCAGACTTTATGTAACTCACAAAGAGTAAAAGGTAGTGACAGAAATAATAACATCAGCGAAGAAATTTACTGAAGTCACACAACTCAACCTGAAAAAAAAAAAAAAAGATAAAACAAAAGAATCAAATTAGGCCATAAGAAGAGATAATCATTGTTTTTTTTCTTTGTTCTGAGGGAGAACAAAAACTGTCTTTGAGGTGTCAGTACTTTGATGCTTTCATGTCTTTCTTTTCACATCACAAGCTAACATGATTGATTTTAGTGCTTCATCATCATTTTTGCCTCCTCCACACATTATTCCTGTGTGACTAATCAAATCTATTAAATTTTTAAAAACCTGCAGCTCTCAGATATAAAAATCAGGTTCTGAGTGTCTTTTTGAAGGCAGAACAGCTGTCAGCATATRCAAGGTTTCATAGTTTTGGATTTTAATTCGTATACTTCTAACACAATTTCTGCGTCATGAAATGATTGTTGGACTTGTTGATGTTAGCAACAAAACACAACTCTGTTGATTTATTTAATTTATTACAAATTATACAGTAGATGTTTATAGTAGTGAATTTATGTGTTTGGTGGTTATGTTTGTTTTAGATTATTTATACAAAAAATTTAAAAAGATGTTGAAAAATTGCATATTTTGACCACTATGATGGATTTAAGCTCAAAATAATTTGAGTTCATTAATGCCATATGTGATAAATATGTTTTGTAACAAGCAACAGCCACAAAATCACAAACTTTCTTTGCATCGTTTATTTATTCATTTATTGCCTATGAGCATTATGTTTTACCTTTATAATGCCTTTCACTGTTCACCATGTGGATAGAAAGACAAAAATACAAGGTGTGCACTTTAAATTCAGCCTAAATTTGCAGTCATGTGACACAGCTTTACTCCTATAGGTGTCTATTCATCATGAACAAGCACTGATGTGGACCACTAAATAAGGAAATTGTTACACAGTATTCTGTGTCCACTGAATGCATTTTTGGAGCACTGGTCTGCATCAGTCCAGGGTCAGGGATTTGTAGAACAGCCTCTTACCCACCGCAGTGATGAGCTGTTAATTTCCTGAGCAGCGCTGCCGCCAGAATAAACACTTAATGTGTGGTAGTTCAAACTGTTTGCTTCTTCTTCTCCTCCTACTTAGTGAAAAGCATTTTCATTGTTGTGGTCACTGATTTTTCATGTTAGCTAAACACTGAACAGAGCTGCTGCTATTATTGGAAGTAATCCTTGATTTTTTTTTTATGGTGGCAGCTTGTTGCTCCACATTTACCATGGAAAACCAGCAGCAGCTCGTGTGAAATTGCACCACTTTGCATGTTTCTGTCACCCTCACTTAAAAAGCAGTGGTTCTGAGACAAAACAGCATCATAATAAGGCTTTTTTTCTTTTTCTACAATTGTTGGGGGATGTAAAACATTATCCTGAAACTCTTAATATTAAATGAGAGTRTTCCATCCAAGCCTGTGAATCAAGGGGAGAAAATTATGCTGAAACAATGATTACTGCTATAACTCTGTACCTTCTGTGAATAAAAAATTCTCTCGCAATCAGACAGATTATGTTGGTGATCTGCATATATCAAATATATTGCAGGCTTCAGAAATCTAATTGTAAGTCAAAGCATAAAACTAAAGAAACACTGTAGATTTTCTTCTCTGGGAGTTTATCATTTATGTTTAACATTTTTCTGAATAATGGCACCATATAAGGCTCCCTTAAAAACAGTTTTCAGTAATCTGAGTTTTGAGGAACCAAAGGAGGCATGAAACAGAATTAAGCCGTGTTGATGCAGAGCACCACACATGTGACAAGTGTCTATATGTTCAAAGCACGACAAATGAACAAATAATTTGTACGTTCATTTAAGGTTATTTTGATTGAAATATTGAAAACTAAAGTTTTATAACTCACTGCTGTTGCTATTTGCAAATAACCACAATTTGATGTAAATAGCTATGCATTGGAGTAGTGCTGGCCCTGCAGAGTAATAAAAATTGTTTGTGAACTGCTATAAAATTTTTGAAATCGTAGTGGATTTAAAAAAAACAGAAATCTGTTTTGGTCTTGGCTGAAACAGAAATGTCTTTTAGTTCATCAGTCGTGTTGGATGTAAAAAGACAGAGTTTAAAACTCAAG